CCCCCCCCCCTCCTCGACTCCATCCAACCTGCCGTGAAGCTGTGGTGTGCTGGACTGCCATCGTTGCCAGTCCCGCCCATCCTTCCCGCCGCTCCTTTTCTGCCGTCTGAAAACGCGCTTCCGGAGACGTCTCCACCGCTGAACCTCGCGTCCATCACATCCCCGTCCCCAGTGCCGCCGGCGTTCTTCGGACGACGACGTCTTCTTTCCTCACCAGGACTCACCAGGTTGCTTCGGTAGTCGATCTCGCCGTTGGCGCCTAGGTCCTTGTCGGAATAGGACTCTGGTCGGTGTACAGGGCTGCCCTTATTTACCTACCGTCGCCGTCCGTCAGGGCATCGCCGTGGGGGGGATTTGGCTGGCAAAGCGGATCTTCTCTCCACCGAAGCGGCCATTGTCGAAGCAATCCTACCCGGAAGGGTTTAGGGAGGTCAACGGGTGCTCGCTGCGACTGTCGCCAGGCCCTTCATTGCTCAATTGCTTTCCTACAACGGGTTTTTGCACCTACGAGTGCGAGCCCGTCCATCCCCAAACCTCCGCTGCGATTTCAACATTCGCAGTCGAAACTTGGCGGAATCCGTGTCTCTTCACATACCCCTGGCGCGCTTCATGTCCGCGACGACCATCGATTCTTCCTAAGCCGCCATCATCGTCGAGTCTGGTAATGACGGGGGAAAGGATCGTCTTTCTGCGATAGTGTTCTGGTTCGATTAGACACCCAGGAGATGGGAAATTCTCAGGGGAAGCAGGTGGCCCTCACCGATGAAGGTTCGTGGTTTCTATTCGGTCCTTGTCTCATTTTATTGCTGACGTCTGTCGTGCTCGAAATGAAGCTGTCAACCTCAATCATTTCCGCCTGCTCCGGGTGGTTGGAAAGGGCGCGTTTGGCAAAGTGCGGATAGTGGAGAGGAAGGATTCAGGTCTCACGTTCGCGTTGAAATACATTCGGAAAGACGAAGGTGTGTTTCGAACCTCCCCGACTCATGCCCTAAGCGGACTCCCTCCGGCTGATACTTTCTCCAGTGGTACGATCGGAAAGCGTCCGGAATATCATTCGCGAACGTCGCATGCTAGAGCACTTGAATCATCCATTCCTCTGTAACCTGCGATACAGTTTTCAAGATGTCGAGTACATGTGAGTATCCGACCGCAATGCTTCTAGATCTGATCTCCAGATTCTGATTGCCTCAGTTACATCGTTGTGGATCTCATGAATGGTGGCGATCTGCGATTCCATATCTCGCGGAAATGCTTCACCGAGGAAGCAGTGCGGTTCTGGATTGCCGAATTGGGCTGTGCACTGAGATACATACATTCTCAGGGCATCGTACATCGGGATCTTAAGCCGGATAACGTCCTTTTGGACTCTCAAGGACATGTCCACTTGGCCGATTTTGTCAGTGCACCGTATCTGCCGCCCACCGCCTTTTGTGCAGAACTAACGAATGGTCAACAGAACGTGGCGTCCGACTTCAGGCCCGGGAAACCCCTGACAAGCAAATCGGGCACTTTGGCCTATCTGGCTCCGGAAGTATATGAAGGAGGTGGCTACTACTCCGAGGTTGATTGGTGGTCTCTGGGTGTGACCTTTTACGAGTGCATCTACAACAGGGTAATTTCTGTCGCATAACTGGAAAGGACGAAGACCGGAAAGCTGATGTCAATCCAGCGGCCGTTCGAAGGTCGCACTCAGGAAGCCTTGAGCGAAGCGATCATGAAAGCGCAACCCAAGTATTATGTCACCAACCCTGCCGTATCTGTTCCGTGCCTGCGTGCTATGGCGGCTCTGATGGAAAAAGACCGCTCAAAGCGAATTGGCGCCATTGGCTTCGAGTCATTCACCTCGCACCCTTTCTTTGCTGAGCTTGATTTCGAGAAATTGGAGAGGAAAGAGATCAACCCAATCTTTACGCCGTCTAGCGACAAGACCAATTTCGATGCGACGTATGATCTCGAGGAGCTCCTGCTGGAAGAGGCGCCTTTGGAAGCGAGAGCACGAAGACAGAAGCCCCGAGCCGAACTGAGAGAGGATGCCACGGCCAAAGAGATCCGCGAGGATGAGCTGCACCGGATCATTGAGACCATGTTTGAGCCATTCGATTATACCACGGTCAACTACAATAATGGGTACGTATGACGGACTCGCCGATTTTAACGGTGGTGTGGATTGTTGACAGTGCGTTCTTAGCAACGCCGCGGCAGCGCTACAAGCTTCAAGGTCAGTGCGGAGTAGTTCCTCCCGTCCAAACTGCATGCGATCTGCTGACATTGGATCTAGCAATCCTGAGGACCGCCTACCAATCACGAGTTCTACACATTCGAGACAGATGTCGCAGCCCAATTCCGTCAGTGGTTCTCCGCCGCAACACGCGGAGAAGCATGGTGATCGGTCGACCCAGTCTGAGGCTGCTTCGCCAATTGGAGAGGCTGTCCAGTCCGAAGACCAGCCCTCCAATGCAGCGTCATCTCCTCCGCACCGTCCCTCCATGCCCTCAGGCCCTCCGCCACCTCCTCCATCAGCGCCGCAATACAACCGACCCCTGCCACCTCTTCCCAACGCTCCTCGTCCGAAAGGAGCGACGCGCAAGATGAGCAAAGGAGGTGGGGTTCAGATGGTTTTGGAGGAAACAGGCAGTTGGAGCGAGCTGGCGGATCAAAGTTCTACCTTGCCGGCCGAAGCATGTGAAGGTGTCGCCAACAAGGGTAAAGGGTCCAACAGTGGTATGCTCTCGTTCTTCAGAGGGAAGAAGGGTCGGGATCGCAGCCCCAAGCCCATGGAGCCAGGCGTGCTCGGGAAAGAAGGGGCTCGCCATATTATCAGCTGATCACCACGATGATTTAATCTACAACCACTATCGCAAATGTTGTATTTGCAACGCTGGGATTGACCCCACGGCACTCCAATATCTTGTTCTTGTCGGGTTTGCGCTCCTTTCCGACGCGACGGGAGTCCCTCTTGTCACAGCCGTGCTCTGGTTTCTTCAACTGTCCGAATTCTGCCTTGGTATGGGCAATTTGGTATCCTCACATCTAGAGGAGAATGATTGTCATGGCTCTGGTGATCGGCCGCGAATTTTTTTCAACTAACTATGATGACGTTGACGATATGAGCCATTACTTTTCTCGCCTGCTTTCGCTCACACGAAACCTTCGAAATGAGATGCAGTGCACCTGATTGGCCTTATGAATGGCTACCTGGGGCTGTGTCATACTGTTTATTCTCCTTTCACATTGCATTACCTTCATCGCTCTCGCCGCTCTTGGTGCACAGCGTCTTTTAATTCCGGAATGATGCGGGAGTTGCTAACAACTTCCTTTGGCGCCTCTTTTTTTTTCTTGTTCTTTAATTTCCTCCTATCCTTTTGATGTCTGGCTGACAGGAGCTTCGAGAGAGTGGCCATCCACCTCACGATGGATAATTTTCTCATTTTATGGCTCGACTTGATTTAGCCAACCGGGCTTGGGGACTGGAAGCGAGAGTTGACGACAGTACATGACATCTCTCAACTCACGCAACGGGAACAGGCCGGTTCAACGTTGATGGAGTGAGTGTTCGCATATCCATATGATTGTTGGTTCGGTGTTATTTTTTTTTCATGGCGGCAGCGTGTCTGTGGTGTTGCATACCCATATCTTTTTTCTCTGATTTGTCTTTGCATGTACTGTACACTGTACTACTCTTTGTAATTATCCCCGCATATTGTATAGATCCTTGACTTGTAATTATGTCGAATCCCGAGTTTCCTGTTGGGCGGGACCCGGTCAGCCTAATAATAACTGGTATTGGTAGCGCTACCCCAGCATTCCTGGGCATGCTTCCATTCCTTCTCTTGACATTCCATGGCATGAATCATTTACCAACCCCGGAATCTGATCGCTATCAAACTCTCGCTATTATTCTAATCAACTGATGGTTCTCTTCCCATCGCACTATCATGCTTCGTGTGATTCTGGCCGCCTCCCTCACCGCCTTGGTTGCTCAGCAACGAGCGACAAATGATCCTCCGGATGTCTGGCGCCGAGGGGCCAAGCCTTGGCCTTGGCATCATGGCAGAAACCCAGATCGATGGCCAAGTCTCAGACGATCAAGAGAGGCTCGATCGATCGGCCTAGCGTTCCTTGCGAAGAAGTCGTTCTTCTTGGAGATAGATCGGATTTGATCAAGTTTTTCTCTATTGTTCTTATCTGGCCCTGCTGGCGTGTGCAGTTGCATTAGTTCTTCAGCCTGAGGACGCGCGTACAGGCCCTTTTTTGTTTACACTATCAGATAAGCGGTTGCATAATGAAGACCTACCTTACCGCTAGCCTAATATAATCCACTATCATTGTCATTGCTATATCGGCGGAATTCACACCGCTCTATTAATTGATATTTTTTTTTCTTTTGATTACAACTGCGCTGACATTGTCTTGTTCCTTTTTTTTTTAAATTAGATTGCGTCGCTCATAGTGCAGTCCCTGCCAGCTAATTGACAGCGTGGAGAGAGATCGGACAGGCTATTATTGGATCAAGTGAGATAGATTACATGCCGAGCCATTCTCGCAGTCGTGAGCGACATCGCGATCGCGACCGTGAATACACCCGTCGTCGACACTACGATGATGCAGACGACGTCGACGATTATGATGCAGATCACCACTACCGCAGACACCGTTCCCGCCACTCGCGGGGACAGTCACGAGGTTACGAGTTTCACGGATACCACGAATATGATGTTGACGAGAATGAATACGGGGAGGAAGACGATCCCATGGTCGACTACTACGGCCGGACGAGACGCTCGAGGCCTCGCGACGAGAGGACGAGGATAGACAGGTCGAAAGCGAAGGAGTCTCCTGCCACGTCACCCAAGAAGAGGAGTGATCGCGAGGGTCACAGGAGAAGAGGGGATAGTCGAGGCGCAGACGGGAGTCCTACGAGAGGAGCTGCCATGATGAGAGAGCGAAGACATCGCAACAGAGATGGAGACGATTACGACAGAGAGAGGGAATTGCGGAGACAACAGCGTCGGAGAGAACGAGAACGTGAGCGCGCCGCGGAGAAGCACGCCAGCACGGACTCTGCAAACAGCGCGTCTCAGCTCCTCAGTGCAGATGCGCTGGCCAAGCTGAATATGCAGTATGAGAGGGAGAAGAGACGAGAGCAGGAGAGTGCGGACGAGGATCTGCGATACGAGAAAAGGCGCCAGCGGCGACGGGAGGCGCTGAATGAGAAGGCTCCGGGATACGATGAAGACGAAACCGAGACTCCTCGTCGTTCCCAGAAACGGCGTCTTGTGTCAGGTGCCGTGATGGAGGAGGGTGAGGGTCCTCGATTGAAGGTAGGGCGACGAGGAGGGGGTGGCTCGGTCTTCAGCTGGGGAGGCGGGGATGGAGACGACGCAAACGCCACGAAGAAAAAGAAACGGCTATGGATAGGCATAGGAGTGCTGGCTTTGGTGCTTATCATCGTCATTCCTGTGGCCGTTGTCGTCTCGAAGAAGAAAAGCACAGCTGCCAACTCTGATCCTAGCTCCTCCAGCTCTCAAACCAATCTCACTGCGAGCTTGGCAAATGTCGATCCAAATAGCATTCCAGTAAGTACCTGTTTACAAACTTTATGGAACGGTATAGCTGATATCTTTCAGCCGTCAGCAAAGGGGACGTACTTTGACCCGTTCACCTGGTTGGACACGAGGGATTTCAACCTAACATATACAAACGAGACCGTGGGCGGTCTCCCTATAATGGGCCTGAATTCCACGTGGGACGACTCTGCTCGACCAAATCCTCACGTTCCGCCTTTGAACCAAAACTTTTCCTATGGGACTCAGCCGATCCGTGGCGTCAATCTGGGGGGATGGTTGTCGATAGAACCATTCATCACGCCGTCCTTTTTCTCCAGATACCCACTCACGGATGGCGTCGTTGACGAGTGGACGCTATCCCAGAAGCTGGGGTCGTCGGCAGCTTCCGTCATTGAGAAACACTACGCCACCTTCATCAGTGAGGAGGACTTTGCAGAGATGCAGGCAGCAGGCCTTGATCATGTCCGGATCCAATATTCGTACTGGGCGGTCAAAACGTACGACGGCGACCCTTACGTCCCACAGATATCGTGGAGATATCTTCTCCGGGCGATCGAATACTGTCGGAAATACGGCTTGCGGGTGAATCTTGACCTGCACGGTATTCCTGGCAGTCAGAACGGCTGGAACCACAGTGGCAGACAGGGGCCTATTGGCTGGTTGAATGGCACGGATGGCGAGCTGAACGCGCAGCGATCGCTCGAAATCCACGACCAGCTCTCTCAATTCTTTGCACAGCCGCGGTACAAAAACATCGTGACCATCTACGGTCTCTGTAACGAACCCAAGATGCTCTCCCTGCCGATCGAAAGCGTGCTCAACTGGACGACGGCGGCGACGGAGCTGGTGCAGAGGAACGGCATCACGGCGATGATCGCTTTCGGGGACGGCTTCCTGAACCTGAGCAAGTGGAAGTACATGCTGAAGAACGGACCTCCGAATATGCTGCTGGACACGCACCAGTACACCATCTTCAACACGGCCGAGATCTGTCTTACGCATCAAGCCAAGATTAACTTGACCTGCAATGACTGGAAGCCGATGATAGCGACAGTGAACAGCCCAACGGAGGGGTAAGAACGAACGTTTTTTTTTTTTAATCGTCGTTATTCTCTTGAGTTGGTGGGAATGCTGACTGAACAGATGGGGCCCAACCATATGCGGCGAGTTCTCCCAGGCCGACACGGACTGCGCGCAGTACCTGAACGACGTCGGGCAGGGCACGCGGTGGATGGGCACGTACAACACAGGCAACTCGTCGACGGACGTGCTGACGCCCGACTGTCCAACAGCGACGGGGAACAGCGACGACAAGACGCCGTGCAGCTGCACGGAAGCCAACGCGGACCCGTCGACGTATTCGGACGACTACAAGCGGTTCCTGCAGACGTACGCCGAGTCGCAGATGTCGGTGTACGAGACGGCGTACGGCTGGTTCTACTGGACGTGGCAGACAGAGTCGGCGCCGCAGTGGAGCTACAAGCAGGCGCGGGCGAACGGGTTCATGCCCAAGCTGGCGTATGAGCCGTCGTTTAAGTGTGGAGATGCGATTCCGGATTTTGGCAGCCTTCCGGAGTATTATTAGCATGATGCTTGCATTGCATTGCACTAGCATTAGCATTGATGTATTGGGGTTGCATTTAAGGCGTTGTTTGTCGACTCACTTGTTCGGATTCCTCTTTTTATGTACACAGAACAGTTATGACTGACTCTAATGATCTCAAGGAAGCATTAATGGGAATGACTGGCAAGGAGTATGGATTAGATGATTCTATTAATAGTCACTTTGTCTGGAGTCTATATATCATCTAACATCGCATCATACCGTATCATATACCTGCGAAATGAATTCGTAAATAAATGTTGACCATCCATCATTTCATCGTCTAATCATCCAAAGATAATCACCAGCACAAACGACAACACGCAGATCTGTAACAAGTACTTTTTAGCTCTATCATCTTCTCGTATAAAAGAAAACTACAAAAGGAAGAAAAAAAAATAGAAAAACTCGAGCTACAGCTCGACTCTCTATCTCTCTAGATAGAAGAAGAAAGAAGGAAAAACTCACAACGGCATACAACCAAATCAACAACATCAAATCCAATCCTCGAGCAGGAAACCTCCCTCGCCGAAGAATCATCTCCTGCTGTCGGAAATACCGCCTCGTACCCGCCAGCACGGTGATGATGGCCACGACGATCGAGATACAAGCGAGCGATTTCCCGGCCGTTATTGCTGTGCAGCGCTTGCTTTTTTTCAAATGAGGATCATGGCAATGACCATGACCATGGCGACGACCAGCCCGTGACCGGACGATGAATAGCTGTGTTGTAAGCACGGCGAATGTGACTATTGCGTTGGACGTGCGGATGTAGGAGAGGTAGGTGCGTTCTAGTGCTGGAATCAACCAGAACCCCGCAGAGCGGAGCAAGATTAGATCTAACTTCCAGATGGCTAAATATTTGTTTAGGACGAGGGAAAGGCACATCTCACACAAATAATCCCGCTGCGTCTGCGAGCCCTCCTCCACCGTGACCACGGGCCGGATGTTGGCTGCCCACCAGGCGCGCACGAAGTGGATGGTTGACATGGTTGTTCGAATCGCTCGAGTTGTCAATGTCGTCCATGTTGTTGTTTTGGGGGTGTTGGCTGTCTTTGCTCCTGCGCTTGTTCCTGTGATTGTGAATTCTCCGGCTGCGTCTGCGTCTGCGTCTGCGTCTGTCTCTGTGTCTCGCCCCGAGAAGACAGTTCGATCGAATCCATGCGGATGAAGTAGATAGATAGATGGATACCTAGATATATGTATTTATTTATGTGGGCATTGTGTCTGGATGCACTGGTATATGAATCATGATCGATGATCAATGATCGATGATTGATGATTGATGATTGAGTGACCAACTGTTAGATATATCGCACGCGACAGGCATATCAAACGATGACGTCCGTCCTTCCGTCCGTCAATCCATCTGCGGAGGTTGATTGGTTGGTTGGTTTGTCTGCCAGTAGGAGGTAAGTACCTACCGTAGGTACCTAGGTTAGGTACCTAGGTAGGTAGGTAGGTAGGTTACGGAGTACAAAAGTTAGGGTACTTTACTGTACTCTACTGTACCAGTACCTATTATAACCTGACAGACAGACAGACAGAGACACACCTTTACAAGATGCAATGCAGCTGAGTCAGTCTAGACTCTAGTCTAGAATTGAATAGATTCTAATACTTCGTTCGAGTACCCAAGTCCACCTGATCCAGTTCACTATGTCTGATAAGATAAGGCGAGTTAAGAAAGAGTTTAATTAACAGTGACGCCGGTGCTTTTCTTGTTTGTCGTCCGGATCCTCACTCGTTGACAGCAAAGGCAGAATCTTTGCGATGGGGAGAAGAATGTCTGGTCTGTCTGTCTGCTGCGGGGAGAAAGAAGACAGATACAGAGTACTCCGTATGTCGGTCGCGTGACGTATTTCCCAGTTAGGAAGGAAGGAAAGTGTGGAGTCAGTCAGCTGTCAGCCACGTGCTGGATTTGGATTCAATCTTCACCTTCTCAATATATGTATGACTATCGATACAGAGACAAGACATCGCAGAAATCACGACATCGAGCTTAGCTACAATATTGTGTGATAATCTAATTGGAAGCTTTCTCCTAGGAGTGGAACCATTGGTTGTTTCTCTGATTACTACTCATACTGCATGAACGTGAGTGAAGTCGGACAATAAAGCTAAAGCTAAAGAATGCGAGTAGATAGTCGCCTCGCTCAGGCATTGTTGCACTCCTAGGATAGCTTGACGAGGTATTACTGATGTGTAGGATCTCGAAGTGCTGAGTAGTGACAGTGTCCTAAATGTCAGCACCGTTTGATATATGTGTACTGCACAAGCAGACATTGTATATTTGCAGTCGTTTGGTGTTTTCCAAAGTCACTGAGCTTCTGTAGGTAGGATAAGCCAGTAAGCGAACGAACGCCTTCGTGGATGAATAGCAAAGTCTCTCAATACATGTATAGAAAACTGCCCTTTTGTATCATTTGAAATGAAATAAAATCCAAAAGAAGTCTGGTGATGGAGAGAGAATCGGAGAAAAAAAGAGAGAGAGGGAGAGAGATTCCCTATCTATGCTTGCATCCATTCCGATTGCGCCCAACGACAAAACAAACCGCAAACAAATCATGCTGCTCTATGCAAGATGCTACCCAGCGTAAAGTCGTCACAAACAATATATCCCATCATCATAAATGAGAATTATGCAAGAGAGTAAGTGAGAAAGAAAAGAAAGTCTAACTATAGGTGAAAGGGGGAATGCTTTCAAGAAGTTAAGTAAGGCTGGTCCAGCCACCCAAGAAGAGAAAAAAGAAACTTCTTCGTATCCAGATTTGAATCAAGATGCAGTCTGAGTGATCTCGGTTTGCGAGGCAGTTGTGCCTTGTTCAAACCAGCCACCTATTTCCCACATTCCGGGCTTGTAAGTCGTGTTGATCCGGGTGGCCTCTTCCTGAAGTCCACTCAGAATGAGGTTGACCCGTTTGAAGTCGATCGGTTTCATGATCCATCCATCGAAACCACTATCGATGTATTTTTGCATGTCTTTCTCCACCAGGGATGCTGACACGGCAAAAATCGGAATTCGGCCATAGGCTTTTACTTTCTCTGACAGTATACCAGTACCGTCCGCCGACGAGCTCTCAAACTCCCGAATCATCTTTGTCGAGTTCATGCCGTCGACAATGGGCATCTTAGGTCTTGGGGTTAGTTTCTCGCGGAGTATGTAGACACGAAGTCGTCTGCTTACCTGCATGTCCATCAACACCGCATCAAAGGATGTTGAATCTGCGCGATAAGCAATGGCACACTCGTCTCCATTCACAGTCAACTGAACTGAGTGACCGAACTTTTCCAGTCTCTTCTGTATAATCTTGCTATTGACCGGGTCATCCTCAGCCACTAGTATATGGAGGCAATGGACAGGAGATATATCCCGGCCTGTTGGAGAGGCGACGGTCTTTCTTGATTCCTCCGAAACTACTGCGTCGGATCTGGACCTGCCCCGATCAGACTGCACCGGCTGTGATGTTGGCCTTTCCACGTCAGCCTCGTCAACCCGGACGGCGCTCAGTGGTATCCCCGAATCTGTAACAGTCTCTTGACCGGGTAAACGAAGACTAGACTGGTTTGCTCTATTCGCTCCGGCTTGAGAGGAAGTTGTAGAAGATGCCTTGGTGGCTAGGACGGGACCAGTCCTTGCTGTTTTACTCGCACCGCTGTCAGATCCCTCGCTCGTCGTCCTACTAACCGGCACAGGCTCCTGAATTGCACTGATTATACGATCCGCTTCTCTTCTAGCACTGCGTGAACTTCTGTGACTTTTTCCGCTGCGACTACTGTCAGAGCTGTGCTCTCGTGAGCCGCTCCGCTGACGTGTATTGCTATCAACCAAGAGAATCTCCCCCTCAGTCACGGACGGGGTTGCTGGTGTTGATGGCGCAGAGGTGGATGATGTCTCCTCTTCAGGTACTGGAAATCTAAGCAATATCTTGAAGCAACTGCCTTTGCCTTCTTCAGACTTGACCCTGAGCTGTCCATGCATGTTCCTCACGATCCGGGCCACCAAGGCTAATCCGAGACTGAGGACACGCTTTTGATCATCCTCTGCGACGGCTGTAATCTCGTCAGCATTTCCGTCTTCATAGTAGTAATTCTCCTCTTCCGAAGAGACCTGTTCCAAGTCCCGGAATAGGGCGTCAACGGTGGCCTGGGACATGCCGGTCCCTGTATCGTGGACGGCTATTTCAATATCAACGTTTCCCTGCTGCTCTGGCTGAACCTGGGAATGCCGTATTTCCACAGTAACTGCACCGGTCGTCGTGTTTTTGATGGCATTGGAAATAATATTCATGATCACCTGGCGAACGCGACGCTGGTCTCCTTGAACTGACTTTGGGATACCGGGATACTCGGTGACATCGTACGAAATGCCTTTGCGCTTCGCTTCACCGCAAAACATATCAGTCGCTTCTTTGAATGTGGCTGAGAGATCAAATGTTTCATCTTTGATGAGATTTTGGCCCCTTTCGGTATTCGTCAGGTCAAGCAGATCGTTGATGACATAAATAAGGCTTTTGGAAGCTGAATGCGACTTGGCGAGGTTTTCACGGGTTTCCGAATCCAAAGAGCTCTCCAAGGCGATTTCTAAGTAGTTTATAATTGCATTGAGTGGCGTTCGAACCTCGTGGGCCGAGTTGGCGATAAGCAACTTGGTCAATTGCGTACTCTGCATGGCCGCCTCCTTCTGTCGCCACACCTCGATGAACTTGCCATAGACGAGGCATAGAACCGCTGCAGTTTCTACATCAGACTCAGACCACTCTCGTGATCGAGTCATCACCGTCTCGCGCCAGGTCTGGAAGCTTTTTCTCGGTTCTAGATAACCCAAAGTGCCCCTTTTGAATTCCTTCTCGTAGGGATTGCCTGCCCACTTGATCTCCGTCATCTGACCCCGTCGGAAGAAGACAATGAAGTCACGACCACCGGCAGAGAGCGGGACATACAGTAAACCAGCGATGTGTTTGAACCCCGGAGGATATCGGAGATCAGTGAAGTCTTTGCTCACATCATGGGACGCAAGAACGGAATTCAGCTGGCGCATTTTCAGGTATTCCAACAACGCCAGAACCTCCTCCGAATGAGCCAGCCGGCCAAGGATCTTGGTCTCGTCGCGAATAGACAGCGCACCATAATCTGCACCGAAGAGCTTGAGCAGGTCGTCTGAGGACGCGATGATGTAGCCGGACGGATTAGTCTCCGTAGGAACAGTATTAATTAGCTTGCGAGCCTGGAGACGGGACGTGTACGACAGTCGTTCGATGTTCCGGGAGACCGTGTCGCCAATCAGACGACATATCTTTCGAATTGGAAACGAAACCCTCATACCCGAGGTGCCGTAGGAATGGCAGGAGATTAAACCCCACAGTTCGTTGAAGGCAATGATGCTGATGGACATGGAGGCTCGGACATCCATGTTGGCGAGATACTTGAGGTGAATAGGTGACATGGCTCGCAGATATGCATGGGTCATATCTAGAGGTGACTCGAGGTCTTTAACGGTCCTGCATACGAGTCGGGCAGTAATCAGATCGCGATTGTAGAGCAGCCGAACCTTGTTGATCTTGTAGAGTTCTCGTGCCTGTTTCGGAATATCCGAGGCCGGAAAATGGAGGCCTTTGTAGAGGTCCTTGGTGGCTCTGGGATCCACGAGTTCAGCCACTACCATTCCATTCCAGCTGCTGTCGAACTGATAAATCATCACACGATGAAAGCCGGTGAGCTCCTTCACGAGCCCGATTGCAGTGTTCAACAGCACGTCTAGGGTCGGAGCGGCTGAAAGCTGTTCTTGGATCTGCGACAAGATATTAAACACCTTCATGGCGGCCGCTTCGCCTCTTCGCCTGCGAGCGTTGCGCAACATCCGCAGGGGCCGACTAACGTTGACGGTACTGGCGGCCAGTTCTTCGGGGGTGGGTTCAATTCCCATGGTGTCAGACGGCGTGTCGGGGGTCGTTTGGCCGGAAACGTTCAATGGGTGGAGTTGGTCATCTTCGAATTCAAACTCACAAATGATCAGGTCTTTGTTGGCATCGTTGACATGCATGGCACACCAGAACTTCTTCGTCTCCCCGGCAGGATTGGCGATCGAGATGATGAAGACCTCAGGGCCATAGATCCGAGGATCGCACGCCTCGTCCCGGATGAAGTCAACATGGTCCAAGAGATTGTCTTCTTGTTCCTCCGTCAGGATGTCACAGAAACTGTCCAACGCGAACAGCTGTTTTGGTGAATATCCAAGGATAATCGCTGAATTTTCACTGACAAACCGAACGACCAGCCTCCCTTCCGACTCTTGGAGAGCAAGTAAGACACCAAAGCTCTGGATGGCACCAGGGGTATGAATCGGCTCATCCTCACAGAATTGGAAATTCTTGCCTTCGGGACCTGTGACGACCGCGTGACCGTCCTCTGTAACGATATGCTGAAAGCCCGTCGCAACTACATCAGGGCTGTCACCGTCCGAGGCATCGCTGCTTTGCGGAGGATCCGAGCCACCACCAACGGGCACACCGCCGTCGGTGCTCGAGGTGAAAGAGTTCTCATCACTGGACAGCTGAGTGGAAATGCTTTCCACGGCCGAGTGCAGAGCCGTCTTCGCCGGCGGGACGGATATGGGAGGGTTGACTATCACTTGCTGGTTCGTAACATCTTCCACTTGGTGAGATAGATCGACTGACGTTTCCGATTGCAAGTCTGCGTCTGATTGGGACTGTAGCCGGTCCCATGTCGCCGCATCAACAATCGTGTATTCTCGCATTCCTTCTCCGGTTGGGGTCAAGGCGTCTCCAGGGGACTGGTAGAACTGCTGCGGCGGCGAATGTTGGCTGCTAGAAACAGCAGGATCAACGGAAATGACCGATCGAATAGGGAACACCCTGTCAGGGGTATCGAAACTGAGGTGTGGTAGTTGTGGCTTCGAACTCTCTGTCCAGGATGGAAGAGATCCGGATGCTGGTGTCTCTGCTGTCGTCGTGTTGGATGAGGCGGGGCCATGCTGATCCAGAGAAATATCTCGTTCTGGATGTCCCCTGGGTGTCTGGTTGCAGGTTTCGTCAGAGGCAGAGCTCCCTGACGGCGGTGCACTGCTGTCAGGACGAGACGACGCCATCTATATAGCCTGGATGGCAGTACATCCACGTAAAGCCAGTCCAGAACAAGAAAAAGAAATTGTCAGGACTGAAACTCAACAGATAAGAGGCCGCACATCTGTCTGTTGGCAGGATACCTAAATCGACAGATATAGTCTGATTGACTCGACTGGAGACCAAGAGACGGACGAGTGCTTCCGAGCTGAAGACCAGAAACGAGCTCAGCAGCGAGATCGGAATGTGGGCATTATAGGAGCGCTCTTGCTTCAAGTGATGGGCTCGAAGAAGATCCGTGGACTTTCTGGTGGAGGAAGAAGGGAGCTGGAAGAGGTGTGTATCACGCAGAAGATACGGGGTCCATGGGAGAGCAGCGCCACTCCATCGAAGACGTAGGAAAGACAGGCAGGAAAGAAAGCGAACGGGATCGATAGAGGCGACTGGTCAAGAAAAACGTTCCACCGCAGTAGGGGAGAAGCATGGTAGAAGGAGGAGAGATGTCGTGGGATGGTCTGGAACAGCCCCTCGTGGCTCCTGCACAGGACTGGCACTGGCAGTCGACTGGACGAATTCGCCAGGAGAACGAGCTTATCTGGGGTGGTCCTGTCAACCCGTCCAATCGACAGACTGACATCCGAGGTAAGTTTCTGCAGTTATGTGGACAACTGTCCCAGTGCACGACGACTCAGATCGACGGCGTTTCGGAACCATGGGGCAGCTGAAGCTACCGGGGGGAAGTTCCTGATGTAAAACCCAACCAGCCATACCTGTTATCTCGAGGGAATTTCTTCGAAATGGGTGCAAAGCACCGTAGATAACAAGTCATCTCTACCTGCACTCAGTTAGACAGTACAGTCAGCACTGCAAAGGAGGTTCGAGAAGGGATGTTGGACACACCCGATTCGGCACTGGGCGTACCAAAAATCAAGATTCAATACGGCCCCAAGTGGGGAGACTTCATTGTCCAGCCAATTCCAGGCCTGAGATGGTTGGAAAGCGGGACAAAAGACGCTTCAGTTCCAAAATTGCGGAAAATGTTATCCGCTTGCCAACGTGCACTCAGGAACATATAGCAAATGGCAAAATCACTGGGAAACTGCAGGGAGGGTTTGCATTTTGCCGTCACAAAGCAGCGACAAAACGAAGTCAAGCCTCAGAAATCACTCTAGGATATATAATGGTTGTACTGTACATGTACGGCCCATACATTCTGCATGTAAGGTGAAGTGACATTCCAGAAAAGGAAGCTCCTACTGTTACCTAATCTAAGACGAATTTGGAAGAATAGAAACAGAGCCCTGATTCGCCAGTCCCACGGCCCGAAATCCCGTGGTCGATTGCTCACTCTCTCAGAGAGTTATTGCCTTGACGCCTACGCGGCTGTGTGGCGGTTGGCGGCCTATGTTGGCGTGGAAAGAAACCACACAATATCAGCTTTAAGTGTTTCACCGGTCAGATAGAAAGGAATCTGTTGCTCCGATGTAATTTCCTGATAGGTGCCAGGAACATGGCCTCAGTCGCGTAAGCTGGCGTATATGATTCTGGTATAACATCACTGACAATCTGTAGTGCGTCCAAGATGACGTCAGACATTTTGACCTATACAATCCTCCAAACTTCCGGCGTCGATCATCGCCGCGTCTTAAGACTAGAAAGATCGATCGGCCGGACCTAAGTTAGGTATGGAGATGGTCCCGATAAGGGGGATCAATACCGACTGCTGATCGTCGCTGCATTTCCGGCGATATAACTGGTCTAATCACGTACGGTGTTAGGCCTAGAGTTGCGGCCTTTGGGGGCACAGATCTGTCACTAAACCAAGGTATCCATCGTTGCAGATCTCATCCATCAAGTACTAACAATGCCCTGAGTGCTAGACTGCCACTAGCTCATTATATTCGATTCCGCAATTAACACAGAAACCAATCGGTCTGAACATCGTGAGTTAACAGCAACATGGAACAGTCGCTCTACACTACGAGGGACGTATAACAAAGAGGAACAAGATATGGTAAAAAGATGGGTATACGTCTGTAGATTTGCAAAGCGCTGGGTGCACCTCCAATACAACTACAGCACCAATTATAAACGTGCAACATACCATAACTGGAATGGAGATGAGTGGCTATGAATAGCGGCCTGAACCCGAATAAGATCCAATAGGTCTCTGAGGATATCTCGACAGATAAACCCAAAACGGAAAACATCCATGAAACGGAGTCATATGAACTGTCACGACACAAAACAATTCCGGCAGACCAGCTGACACGGAATCTGGCCAAAACAAAACGAGTGGACGAAATCAATGGCGTCCGAATGAAAAGAACGTCCCCCAACCTCTCTTAGGCTCGTTGCCATCGCTATCATTGGAGGTATTCGATTCTTTGGTTGACACCCGGACGCTTGAGGTCTTTGTGGCTCCCAGTTCGATGCCGCGTTCCAAGTCGAGCTCCCGTTCTTTCTTCGATTCGTTCTGGCCACGCTCAAACTTGGTTCTCGGGTTGAAAGGGACAGATCGAGCTGTCTCGATTCTCGTCGCGCCCGGCCGGGGAGGGGCATCTCTTGGAGACTTTGGGAATCTGGGTGTGAGCGGTGATTTGATAGCATTGGCCGCTCGTCGAGTAGATCGACGCATCGCTTCTCGGACTGCCCATTGCCTCTTCTTTGCGACAAGGAACAGAATAGCCGATGACACTGGAGACAAGTTAAGACGTTAGTATTTCTGATACCCGGGGAATGGCAGCATAAGACAGTTCACAAGGAAGATGAGGTGACCAACCTCCAAGAACGGCAACAACCCCAACAATAACAGATAGGGTTATTACCACGTCATGACTCTTGGAACTAATCATACTGGACCCAGGTCCAGAGGCACCGGCCGCATTCTCGCTGGCAACGTCACCGGAGTCAGTGCTGGATGTGCTGTCTTGAGCATAAGATGTTGCAAGAAGACTCGAGAGAGTGCTGAAGAAGAGCAATAGCGTCCATGGGGACGAATGCCTAAAGTTCTTCATGAGGGAAGGCAGTAGATTGAACTGAAGTGAAAACTAAATTTAACTAAACCCAAGTTACGTAGGTCTCTGTCCGTTGTAATTTTGAAACCAACAGAATGTCTCCAGAGATGATGACAAAATATGAATCAGAAACGAAAAGTGTCAGCTCCTGGAGAAGCTCATACTCTGGCATCTAGATATATTAGCACAACCCGAGCCTGTCACACCTCCCATGAGGAAGAGGGTGTGCCCAGCGGCCAGGGACGACAAAATACAGCGATGATCTTGGGTTAACATGGTCTAAACGGGCTTGTCGTCCAGTCTGCCCAAGCCTTCTAACCAGTGAGAAGTGCATACGATGCAGGTGAGGGAGTGACAGCTGTGGGATGAGGTTCTCGACACACTACGTCCAGCCAATTGCAACGCCCAGTTAACCCGGTCGCTGTTGCAGTTGGCGCCGGGTTCAGCACCCACCAATCACCAGTCCGGACTGGCCGCTGTCGATTGTCGAGGATACTAAAAAGGAATGTGACGATCGTATTAATAGAATAATACGGGGAGCTATGAGCTATGGTTGTTAACCCGCCTTGAGAATAGGTCTGCATGAAGCATAAAAATAGTTGGACTGGGACTGTATAATATAGACGAACAAGGTACCATTCAGGATATTTCTCGTATTAGGCATTGACCATCCTAGGTACTTACTTGCTAGGTTAGCTTCCTATGTGTATTCTTCGTTATAATTCTGCTATATCCCCTACTAAGTTTTCCAATGGATATAGATTCCTTGTTGAAACCCTAAGGTTGAACCGGCAGCACCTGATTTAAGACATCATTTAGCAGTGCTGCCTATCCTCATCCAGTCATTGTCAATGATTTCTCAAAACAACAGTCAATAATATTATGGTGTTTCGAGGAAGGTATTCTACTTTTCACCAAAATGCCAAATTACAGGACATTGCCGTGGTGTCTAATGCCCTCTCCAGGCTCCTCTTACATCACCATTGTAAATCTCTTTGACTGCACTGATAGATATATTTTCTCTCGGTTGTTCTGCTCACGAATGGAGCAACTTAACTGACTGCTCCAGCCTGTGTCCGTTGGCTATCACGTCCGTACTCTGCTCTCCGAAGTTGCAGTACAAAATCGCCTCGTCGAATATAATTCCCGACTATGGGATCCCTCCGCCGTCCTTCGTCGTGGAAGTCGGGATACTTCAGCAGCTGGGTATTACAATAGTGCAACAGTGTTCTGGGAATTTTGGAAGCAAGCTCCAACACAACAATCTTGGGTTGGAAATAGCAGGAAAATCCTGCCCTAGTGCTTAGGAACGCCACTTTCGAATTAAGCCATGCGGCACATCAAGAGCGATAGGACAATTTCACTCAGATATCCATTGCAAACAACGCCTAGCTGAATGCAGAGCGGGGGAAGATATAGCACAACGTAATAGTATCACCGGTCTGCAGACCTGTCGAGTAACGTAATATACATGTAAGTACAAAAAAAAAAAAAATACTGCCGTGGAGGAAACGCAAGCAGCGGTAGATGTTGAACGTTGAAAAACTTGGTTTCCTTGGTTTCTGGACAATCCGTCATCACACTCTCGGAATCCCGTTTCTCGTTGAAGTTGTGAAACTCGCTAAGCCTGGCTCCGTCCGTTTTCTAGGTGCTTGTATATGCATTCAAATTCCCCATGCAAAAAAAAACCAATGACGCCATTCCCAAAGACACGTTGTAATATGTAATATGAAACAGTTTATTTCGGCTTCCCTCCCTTCGTCGCTTCGAGGAAGAGGACCTTTTTCTTCACAACGGGATCGTACTTGAGCATGCTGAGCGGACGGTGGTTACGGGGTCGGACCATTGTTCGGTAGTAGCCAGTCATGGCCATGGAGATGAGCCGGACGGCGATGGTGCGCGATTTCGCTGGTAATTGCAAGGTCCGTCAGCATCTCTGCAGACTCTTTAGGACGAATAGAGACGAGGACGGAGCAATGTTCGCCGGTGTCTCGCCATCATATATCAATTGGCGCTTCAATAAAAACCCACCTTTCTTCGACATTGTGCAACAATTGCGAACGCAGATAAGAAAAAAGAATTAGCGAGGAGAGGCGTCGCCTCGACTATTCCGCTTGGAAGAGGGTCGGTCGACCACTCAGCGTGCAAAAGCTGTGGTGACTCCGTCGACAACGAGCAGTCTGCAAAAGAGGGAATGTGTGGACTGACAATTCGGCAACGAGCCAACTGTCTGATTAAAGGAGCGGACTGTAGAATCTGAAGGTCGTCACAACCAACAGGACAATTTTGCTATCATCTCCGGTCCGGAGTTGCGGATAGGAAGTTCAACTCCCGCAAGTCACGTGACGCGGTACACACACATCCAGAATAGCGCGTATCCAACTTCGGAGTCAGGAATCTCGACCCGACTACTATTAATGGGTATCCTCTTGTATGCACTGTACAGTACGGAGTACAGTCATGGCCTGAAAATGGGCCGCAAGATCAAATTGCGCTAAGTGAACACCAGAATTTTTATACTTGAATTATGACTTAAGGTTACATTCTCAACTTTATGCCATCTTAATCACTAACCTATCACTGCAGGCGGGGATATTCAGAGCCTGTATGTATATACACTGCACTTGTACCAGCTTGAGTTGATACATTCCTTTTCAATCTCAACTTCTCGACCGTTTTCCGCAACAGCACCATACGGAGTCTTTCACTAACTCTCATTTCTTTCCTGGTCTGATTCTGCGTCTACGCTGGTCCATGTACAAGTGCTACATGCTATTTTCGTATCTTACTCAGTCTATGGCTAGCATGATTTCTGCAGCGGATATGAAATGCCATATCTCGCATGTCTCAGCGTGAATCGTGTCCTTTCTTTTTGTCTTTTTTGGCGCTCCAAGCGCTAAATCGTTGTGCAACAAACACCTTGCTTTGCTTGATTTCTCGGACAGACCATCGCTATTCAGCCAAAAGCAAGACGAAAAGCTTGTGGGGGAACAGATAAACCTCCCTTGAGATCATAAATCAAGTTTCTGACCTAAATTACGGACTGATGTCGTGTGTCTACTGACTCGCTCCAGATTGCGAAGATGGAAGAAATCAAACTTGCATCGAAGCTTGGGACGGGAGGGTGGTCAGAGCTTCGTGAACGACAGGACAACTGCGAATCATGTCTGGAGAAGTTCGACAAACCCAACCGTTGAGGGTGTTCTGTCTGGTCCTAAATGTCCATCAAAACGCCACGGCTACCTACAGCTAGGAGCGGATCCGAGCTGGGGAACCCAGGAGGGCGGTGTCTCCGGCCCAGATCCGAAACTCGCGACAAGTCCCGACCTTCCCACCATCCTGCGGGGCGATAGTTTTGTGTTACGCATCTCATGACCGAGAACAAGAGCCGATATGATTCGACTGGAGTCTTGTTTCACAGATTAGGGCCAGGCCTTTCCGGGCGGGAGCTAAGCGGTTTGACTTTGTATGCAAAGGGCCGCGTGAACAGTGTCAACGGTTGGAGTGTGCGGAGATCAAGATAGATCCTTATATCTCAGGCTTGTCAGGATGACCGTGCTGCAGCCCTGTCTGCCTTGGAGAGCTGCGATGGTGTGTCACATGATGGCGCAGCGCAGCGAACTAATGGCGATCACCACCATCAACTAGGTTAGAGACATACCTCCATCTCGAGTCACAAAAAAAAGTATTTCAAACGTCATACACCAACTCGACGCGGGGAACGAGGTCGAAGTTAACCCTCCCGTTGCGTCTTATCAAATCCTAATATACAGAGTACTGTAATGGGCAGTGTCAGCCGACAACACTCCTACACAGTTGCATAGATACTACATGCGGAGTAGAAACTGCACGAAGTAAGGAGGATATGGCAATGACGAAGGTGTGCTGGTAGATTAGACGATGCAGCCAGCAAATCAATTTAGCGACATTTCACCAGCCACAGTTGGATTGGGGTGGGGAAGGATATGTCTTATTTCCACGGCCCAGGTTATTATCATTTGTCCGAATCGTTGACCCGATGTCGCAGCAGGCTAGCAGTAGTGACTCGCGCTGAAACAACGGTGATAATAATAGTTAGTACATACATACATACCTAGGCAGATATGTATGTTATTTCGGACCCTGCGTCGAGGATGGAGTCCTCCGTAGAGTATCTCTGAGAAACAAAATAACTATTACCCCGCCAACAGATACGACCTTCCTACCTACCTAGGAAGGTAATAAAATAAGTAAATCACCTAGTCTGTGCCATTATTTTCCTCCGTAGTAGTAGTATTATTACATCCCGTCCCGCCCGTGATAAGTGAGTAATTAGTCAGTCCGATTTAAAATCCAGCCAAGCGGTGTAGTTTCCAAGAAGTCCTAGCACATGTCCAAAACGTCAATGCTACAGGAATTGGCAATGTTGATCGGACGGTTTGGATTTGGGGTTGGTATTGTTATTAGTACAGAGTTAGCAGCGTTTTCACATTTTTTCTTCCTTCTTTGACAAATATTAATAATAGTCCGTAGTCCGTATGGTGATGATTGTTTAGTCTATAGAATCTGCGATTTCTCGAATCTTCTACTTTTCCACGGAAGAAGAATTCTTGCTGGATCTTTCTACCTGCCTACGGAGTAAGAGGACTGTAGAGGGATAGCATAGGTACCTACCTAGGTAGGTCTGTATGTACTGTACGCTTGGTCTCGACTACTATTACGCGTCAGGCAGAGTCGCGAGTACCCCTCATGGCGATTGTCGAGTGCGGTTTAGACTACAGGTATAGATCTACGAAATGCAAAGCAGAAGAATCGCCACATGCTCAATTGATGCTATATATGTACAGTACATATACAAATGCAAATACAAATACAAACACGAATACGAATGCAATCCCCTCCGCGCCGACCGCGACCATGCGAGCTAGTCCATTACGTAGATACATATATGCAGATAACAAGACAAAACACCTCTAACTGAGGACTAACTCGCAGGCTGAGACAAAGCAGCCGATTTGCCGACCAACTTCCAACTAACGATCAAACGCCCGTGGAAGCAGCACCGGCAAGCCGACTGCTCCGTCTCAGTGAGGATAACGGCGGCCACCCATCCGATTTCGTTTTCTTTGGTTTCTTCGGACGGGCGCCTCCGTTGCAATCCCCATCGCGGCCGCGCTTCTTTCCTCTTCCTCCTCTTCCCCCGATGATGCGACGAACCGAGGACGGCGTCTGGCGAGCCGGACGAAGTTGTGCCATGCGAGAGGAGCGACGACGTGGGCCGGACGCCGTCCTCGGTTCGTCGAGGACGCTGTGTGATGGTCAGCGTCTATACATTGATTTTATTAGAAACTGCTCGTTATGGAATCGATCAGTTGGTGCTCACTTGACGCGGAGACTGTCTCTGTCGTTTCCACCTTTGTTTTCGTCGTTGTCGTTGTCGTTGTCGTCGTCGTCGTCTTCTTCTTCCTCGTCCTCCTCGTCTTCATATTCGTCGTCTCCATCGTTTCCATCTTCGCTCATTTCGTCCTCTTTCAGATTCGTCTCTGGCAGTACTCGAGGAGGAGTTCCAGTCAGCAGCCCATGAGACGGCACGCGGGGATTCTCAGGAGGGACGCGGGAGAGTTGTTCAAGCCATTCAAGAGTGCGCTGACGGCTATGACAAGCGCCAGTGATGTTGTTATCTTGGTCTTGCTCGAGACTCATCACCGAGGCCGCAGGAACACGTGGATAGCTGGCCGTATGTAAAAGAAAGAGATGGTCGGCAAAGGCGACGTTGCTGTGGTGGGGACCAGGATTGAGCGTGCGATACTGGATGACGGACGCGTTGTGAGGGTCATAGGGAGGCAGAGGCCTGGAGAAGCGTTCTTCGATGCGCTGTTCGGTATCAGGAAGGATCAAGAGAGAAGTAAGAGCGCGGTGCAGCTGGTTGACCTCCATTGCGTTTGCTGGGTCTTGAGGATCGGACGGCATGACCTCGCGCAGACGGAACCAGGAGGGAATCATGGTGGAGGAAAGAGAAAGAATAAGGGGAGTACACAAAGAAGACCACTGTTTATATGCTCCCAGGGGATGCGACACGCGCAGTAGCGTGACTGGAGGCGACCGCCGTATTCAATGTGAGTGATCAGAGGTAAATTTGAGCTTGTGCTTTTGCTTCTTTGACAATCTCAGAGAACCCAAACGTCAGAACCTGTGAAGCGTTAGGAAAGAAAGAAGCTGGAACAGAAGACAACGGAGACAGAACTTATTTATCTGCAGAAATTAGGGCGCCGAGAAGTGTTAACCCAATGTGTGCATATATAATCCATTCCGGATGGTTCTACGAGTGTGCAATGTGTTGATCAGGTAAGTATCCAAGGGCGACAGTCAAAACAGAGTTTTCTTGGGGCAGTCAACGCAAGCAGTAGTGATGAAAAGAGAGCTAGACCTCTATCTATATAACATCTGTCCCTTGCAGTGCCAATTTCAGCTGATTTAATCAGGATTGTTGTCTATATCGAAGGACTATTGCGACGAATGTACCAAGCATAAACGTCTGAAGCAGCAACTGCCGCAGGAGCTTCTACAAGAGCAAGAGCAATAAACAAGCAGGGAAATAGCTATATATATATGCAATATTACAGGTACCTAGGTAGTAGAATTATATCTTCGTAAGGAAATAGTAATCTCTTAGGGCTTTGCCTTCGTATTTCACCAGAAATCCAGAAAGGGGAAAAAAAAGATTACCAACACAAAAACTTTCAACAGTTGACATTCACATTTTATCAACCCTATCCCTCTAGCAAATAAAATGAGCTATTATCCAGAGAGTATGCGAGTCACTGTTAATCTAACGTATTGATTGAACCTTTGCTACTTGGTACCATGTTCAGATTAATCTATAGCCCTCTCTTGATAAAGGGCTTATAATAATATAATATATATGGCTAATAAACTTGTTTCTGCACCACATTACAATGTTATTACCATAAACCATAACCCTAGACCTCTGCTACTAGCGAAGCCTATCAAAGGTACAGAGTATTACTTTAGACACGGGAAAAAAAAAAGAGAAGACAGAGTGTCAAGTCTACCTATTGCAGACTACTAATAATGAAGGAATCGAAGATCAAGAGGTACAGTACTCGCATCTAGGCAGCAACCAACCCTACCTACCTACCTAACGAGATTATCCAGTAAAAGACAGACCTCACCCGTAGATCAGAAACTCCAGACTAGTGAATGCAGGATGCAAGATGCAGGACGCAGGATGGTGGGGTGTCCTCCACTGAGTCAGTCATGACTAGGCAGCGGCAGACTGCAGGTCGGCAGTCAACGACTCAACAAACCATACTGCAGCACGTACAGCAAGTAGATCATCCACTCGACTGGACTCGACTTGACTCGATCAATTTTTTCTGCAGAATGTCGTACATCATACATATGTATGCACATACATAAGGTACTGCATGCACAATTACTTTAACTAATAACAAGTCTGACTGACTAGGTATGTACTATACATGTTCTCCGTTGAGGATATGAATATTGAAATTCTGATCTTCTGAACAGAACAAGTGGAGATGATCTGTTCGTGTTCATGACTCATCAAATAATTATCATTCGAATTATTTGATATCGACCCGGTAACTACCTGCCTAGGTGGGAAAGAAAAGATTGGATGGATGGATGGATTTGCTGCGGGGCAAGGGAAGACGGCAAGCCCCGCATTGTATTTTTTTAACGTTTTTTTAACAGTACCGAATGAATCTAGTTACAGTCATACTTGTACTGTACCTAGCTGATTTCTGATTTAGAATGAAACTACGAGATACATATACTTGAAGAAAATATCAATATACCAAAGAAATGGGTGAATTGAATCGAATGAATGATTTGATTCAGTGTTCCTATGGTATGGTACGCTATCTGGATACAAACGACGAGCCAGATCGACCAATCAGACTGGAAGATCTTTGTGGACGCCGGCCCGGCCCGCAGACGGCGGGCTGAGTCGATTCTGAATTTCTGATTGACTCATCGCCGACTCAGCCATCGCCCGTCACATGCCGCTTGCCGGGCTTGTTCATTGCAGCTGCAGCCTGCAGGGCCACAGCTACCCCGCGCGCGACAAAATTTTCTGTCGGGGATGGATCCCTAGATACACGGAGATGTACCTGCCGGAGATGTGCCAATGGCAGGCAGAACTTGCTCAGACAGAGCGCGTTCTCAACAGAAGAGACCTAGCGGTGGATTGATTCATCGCTTCCTTTCTGGGACGCGACTGAACGGACCATGCACATATATATGCAGATAACAAGCGCCAGGTATAGTCGACGATCAGCGGAAGTATTCGGCAGGCCGATGCACCCGCAGCGCATCGTAATGGCGTTCAATGCGGTCCACAAAGTCCGACTCGTACAGCGACCCGCGACTGGGAGAGCCGCGCCGGTAGACAATGACCCGGCGCCGCGTGCGAGGCGCGCGCTCGATGATCTGAGTGTACGGCTCCGGGGCGGCCGGTCGTCGAGGCGCAACCGGGTAGGTGGAATCGTAGCTGATGACCGGCCCTTGGTCCTGCTGCTGGCTGCGACGCAGGCGCAGGCCTTCCTCGATCGCCAGGAGCAGGCGACGCGCCGCCTTGCAGTCGCGCGGGATCTTGACCAGCGTCTGTTGGTTGAAGCCCTGGTCGACGACCGAGTAGGCCTTGCCATTCTTGCTGAAGACGTATTCCGCCACGTCGATCGCATACTGGTGTCCGCGCTCGCAGAGGGAGCGGCCTTCGCGGAAGGCGTCGAGGGGATCCGCGCAGCGCGAGCAGTGGCCGGCGTGACGCTCAAACTCGCTCAGGACGAAATTCTCGTCGTCGTGCAGGTCGCGCACCCGCACGACGGGCGCGTCCTCGGCGGGCTCTTGGAGGAACGGCATTGTGGTCGAGCGTCGAAGCGGACGGCGCTCGAAGGACGAGTTGGACGGCAAGGGGTCGAAGTGGAAGCGCGATCGCGTGCGAAGGAAGGACAGCTTGGAAAGCCTGTTCAAGGCGACAGGACAGAGTGGAGATGTGTAGAAGATAACGTAGAAGAAAACAGACGAGGTTGATGATGAGAGAGGACTCCGATCGAGGCAGTTCAGACCGTTAGATTATATCAAACTGTTGTGGTGGGGTTCTTCGGGGTCATGGGAGGGGATCGGCCATCTTTAAGCTGCATGCGTTACCGTACCGTACCGCATGAACTCGTGGAGGGTGCCTGGCGTCCCTGTCCACGCGCCCTCTCTCCAACGCTAATCCTGCATGCGATCGTCATGAGAATCGCCAGAATCATGGCTGTGGCTGGCCCCTCTTGCTGCCACGGCCTCGTCCGTTTCGACAACGGCCACAGGGTGCACTCGCTGATCGCCCTGTGGCATCACAAGCCCGGCACAGCCATGCGCAACGCGGGACCCAGTCATCTGGCCTGCAATCGAGTCATCTCCCAAGCCATCTCGTTCTGTCGTAGTCGATGACCGCGCTATTCTTATTTTGTCATACCCAGGAGTTTGGTACAGTTTGGAGAACTGTAAGCCCTCTGTTCTCCAACAGTCATTTGTTGGCCAGCCGCTGGCGCTGGCTGGGCGGCGACTGCTGACACAAGACACCAGAACAGATACAAAGTTGTTTCAACCACTGCTAAGAATAAATGATCCCTACCATGTACGCCATACTCCGTCGTCTAGAGTACAGTCCATATAACATTTCAGCCTCATCGTGACACTATCTTAGTGCGGCGTGGCTCAGCCTCCGCCATGGTCAGAGAACACGAGATCGTCCGCTGCAGGACGGTGTTCCATTCGACAGTTTCTGCTTGCTTAGGCGCGATTTCTCCGATTCGAACTCTGCTGCCCTATCGCTCCAATGTGCATGCTGTCGATGACACTGGAAGACTGTCAGATTAGACGCCGCTGTGAGATCGGTCTCCTAGGAAAATTCCCTGGTCAAATCTACACCGATCCGATCGGTCTGCTGCAGGTTGCTCGTTTCTCTGATGCTAATTCGAGCAACAGTCCGTCCCCTCAGCGCTTATGTGCGAAATCACACTCAGCGGCCACATCCCGATTCCAGAGGCAGAGTTTCTCATGAAACACTCATTCTTGATCGATAGAATCTTTTTCTAGACTGTGATATCTGCCAATTACGCTTCCTACAAGTTATAAATAGCAACAGGAAATATTTTGAAATTGGAAACGATCACAGCGCCAGTTTTGCGCTTGTTGAGCCCTTTCAAGGGTTCTTCCATTCGGGGTTTGTATCACCATCGCTATTTCCGAACCAGATGGCGCATCGTTCCCTCCAAAGTTTTTTTTTTCTTCGTGCAACATTATGCATTGAGGCTGGTGCTGACAGTGGCTGATCAGCCTAGTACGGTATCGTATGACACGGGTCTGTGCTTTTTGTCCTTGTGCTTGGGTGTATCTGTCATCCATGCTTGGTGCTCTCCTTTTTCAGCTGGCATCTTTCCCTTGAATTCCGGCATCATGCCGCTTGTTCGCTTGCTTACCGTGCAACTCTAGCAAGAATCGGCCTTGCGATCATGTCATTATTCTCGCCTTCGGCCATCATCCGCGCTGCTGCCTATTGGTGACTGTGATCGTTCTGCCTCGTAGCCAATTATGTGTAGTATAGTATAGTACCTGCTTTCTGATATCGGGATTTTTCGCGTGACGGCTAGACAAAAAGCCCTTTCGAATCTGCCTTGTTGAGCGGTAGGTCATGAGCTCTGAAAACCTTTGTGGAATTTCTCCGTAGGTAGTCCTTACTACCCTACAAATCAGGCACCAACAGTCGATCCTCAATATCAATATTGTTGTTCCGCATTTGCCGCGTTGTGCCGCCATCTCTGATCTATCTGGCTGCAGGCATACTCCGTATCGCGAAATGACTTGCATATCTCCTTCTCATTGCAGTGGGAATGTGCCTTGAAGACTGCAGTCATGTATCCCTCTAGTCAGAAGTGGCAAACTCTAAGAAAGTCAGGTAAATGACGACACGGCTGAAAATGCTGCCCTTGATCAGTAATGTATTGTATTAGAATTCCCATGACATGGTGCAAAGTCTCCTCTTCCCTTCTGGTCCCGTGAGACGTGGTCACGCCTGGGTCATGGAGCCATGCATGTGATCCTCACCACGCGGAGTTGGGGTCAGGTCAGATCAGGTCAGACTAACTCTTAGATGTTGTATATGCTCAATCAAAGATTTTTCCTACGTGACCTCGCTTGCAAGAACATGGACTGTGAGGTGAGCTTTTTTGATTTCTGATTGTTGATACGATATTACCCTTTTTGGAATTGGACAGCATATATTAGATGACAGCCTACAGGGGTTTTTTGCTTGACAGTAGTGTATGTAGATGCTTTAATGTTGAAACTCGCCCATCTTTCTTCTAGTCCTGTTATTTCTTGAGGAGTAAGTTATTACCTGCATGACGATATGCTTGTGCATAAGGTTATCAGCACAGCCGCACCCCACAATCTAATACTAACAATAATACCCCGTATTCATGCGTATAATTCCATCTCTATTAATATTCTTACACATTAATATATAGCTACATATGTACAATACATATATATAGTATATAGTTATGTTCCTGCTCAAGAATTTGGACTTGCACAGATCGAAGAAAAAGAACAGGCCAACCGAACAATCGACGTACAGGTATCCTCCCAACCTGTCCTCCCAACACGCAGAGTCGCTCCTCGCCCAGATCAAGGACTGGCAGCTCAACCACGGCTCGTTGCTCAAGCTCGTCCAGTCGGAGACGGAGCACAGCGTGCTGGCCCGTCCCATCGGCGTCAGCGTCTTCCCGACCCTGTTCCCCCGGCCCGTGTTCCAGCACGCCCTGGATCTAGAGTCCACGTACAACGAGCTCTACTGCGCTGTGGCCGAAGATGAAGAGTGGCTGTGGGACGTCACTAAGGATCTCGTCCACGTCGAGCCGCTGGCCGCTGCGCTCTGGCACGTCCATCACGAGGTCAAAAAGGCTGGCTCCGTGCAGCCGCTTTCGGCGGGCATCTTTCGCTCGGACTATATGCTTCACGTTCAGAGTCGAGATGACAATCACGATGATGACGATGACGAGAGTAATCCCCTCGCGAACGTCACGCTCAAACAGGTCGAGTTCAATTCGTACTCCTGCGCTGGGGGATCGCACGCGAACAAGGTCGTCGATATGCATCGATACCTGGTGCGGACGGGGGCATACAACCACAACAGCAATGACGAGGAAGAAGAAGAGCGAGAAGAAGAAAAAGAAGATACCAACCCCATCCAGCCATCCGCAATCCCACCCAACTACACAATCCACTCTCTCGCCTCCTGCCTGGCCACCGCGCACGCCGCCTACGGCGCGCCCAAAAGCCAAATCGCGACCAAGACAGCCGTGCTGTTCATTGTCCAGCCGCGCAACTTCAACATCGCCGACGAGCGGCCCATCGAGTACGCGCTCTGGAACAGAGACCCGCCCGTGCCGGCGTACCGCGTCGATTTCCCCCTCGATGTGCTCGCCTACACGTCCCTGAGCGAGTCCGGTCGGGAGCTGCTCTTCCATCCGCCCTGGCTGAGAGGGAAGAACCCCCTGGAGATTTCCGTCGTCTACATGCGTGCGGGCTACGAGGCGGAGGAGTATGAGACGGACTTCACCAACAAGGTGAAAGAGAAAGTGAAAGCGAAAGCGAATGACAGCAGCAGCAGCAGCAGCAGCAGCAGCAACAGTCCGGGCCGACAAGCGCGTCTCCGTCTGGAACTGTCCCGCGCAATCAAATGCCCTTCTCTGCTAGCGCACATCGCGACCTTCAAGAAGGTCCAACAAGCACTGGCTGTCCCAGGCACGCTCGAGCGGTGGCTGCCACCAGACAAAGCGGCCAAGGTCCGAGAAACGTTCATGCCTCTCTACCCGCTCGACGACGCCTCCGACGCAGGGCGCACCGGGCGTCAACTGGCGACAAACCGGCCCTCGGCGCGATCACACGTCCTGAAACCATCTTCGCTCGAAGGCGGCAGCCACAACGTCTACGGCGAGGCCATCCCGGGCTTCCTCGCCTCGATCCCGCAGGCGCAGTGGTCGTCGTACATCCTGATGGAGCGGATCCGGTCGCCGAGTCTGTACAACGTCCTCATGTCGCCTCCTCCCAGGGAGATCTTCGCGGGGAGAGTGGTTTCCGAGCTGGGCGTTTTTGGGACGTGTTTGTGGAAGAGGCGGACAAGCCAAAGCAGGAGCAATAATCATTGTGATCTCCTAGTAAACGCCGTCGGTGGATGGTCGTTCAAAACCAAGGATGCGCAGATCGACGAGATGAGCGTCGTCAAAGGTTACGGCTGCTTTGATACCCCGTGCTTGGTTGATGTATAATATTTCCTGTGCAGAGAAGGAAAGTATCTAGTAAAACTGCTGTAATTAGCACTATGTAGATAAGAAGAAATGTACATGTATGTACATGAAATCATATCAAATCAATCAAATCAACAGAAATGGTATACCCAACGCCAATGCGAGTTTATATCCTCCAACATAAAACGAACAGAAAAAAGATTTCCGGCCCAGATCAAGATCGACACCTCCAACACCAGTTTTGAAGCGTCCATCCGACTGCTTTTCAAAGGATATAACTCAACAATTCCTGTCCCTTGACAGCCGTCGCGATGTGCCATGGCAACGTATTCCGTTGCACGTGCAGTGTGCCCTTCGCTCGCGCCAGCGTCGCCAGGTCACGATACATGCCCAGTGTTTCCCGGAGGACAGTCTCGTACGACGCAGGCGGCCTCTGCGTATAGACCAGATTCACGCCCATCGCAACCACCCCTTGGCTTTCGCTCACGCCCTTGCGCCGCAGCAGATAACCGCTCGCCAGCGCTGGGCGGTATTCCGTCATGAACAGCGAGTTGCTGAGACGGTGCGATAAAATGATCCCCCAGGATTCATCGGCTGCATCAATAAGGACAGCGTCGGATTCTGGCTCCATGATGGAGGATATATCCGTCGGTGTTGGCGCATTGGCGGGCCCCTGACTACTACTGGTGGGTGTTGCGGCACTCCCACCGAACTGGTCGGGCGAAGGCATTCCCGCGTGAGGAGTGGTGACAGGTGTCGAGGACGTCTGAGAATTCATGGTATTCAACTGTATTTGGGACGATGGGAGCTCTAGACGGAGACCGGGAGCGATATTGACGCTGAGTATCGTCAGCTCGACGGGCATAGATCTCATCTGGTTATATCGTTCAACAAGACCCGTCCATGCTTGAGAAGTCAGTTAGTAATCTAAACACTGTCACAAGTTTAGGATCGGTCATACCGTCAATATCTTCCTGATCTGTCGGTTCTGTCCTAACCAGGAAAATCTTCCACCGAGTCTGTGTCCTCTCCATAATGTCCTTAGTAGTCTCCCAAATCTCATGTCTTACGTCGGAGACCATTCGACTAATGCTTGATCCTCTTGTGCGGAGACAGTACGACAGCGTCACTTGACAAGAACCTGAACCGTCTGACCAAGCAGCGCTGATCCAGCGCTGGTCGAGACTCCGTGAAAGTGCTAGATGCAGACATTTCCCCTCTTGAAAAGGCGATGTTCGCTCCGGGGCGAGTCTAAAGTTGATTGATTTGGGGACAGATTCGGCCAATAGCACTGGCGGTGCACATCCCATGACACCAGAGCTCGTATCTTTGGGAGGGCACCGATTATAAACCTCCAGTGCCAAGTTCAGGTATTCGGTCTGAGTGGGAACAACAAGTGAAGATGGAGAAGAGATGAAGCTCATAGGTACGACCTGAAGAACAAGCTCATTCAGCTGTTGCCTGGCCTGATGCCGGTCGACGTCTCCAACATATTTCTGGAAAAGTTGCAAAAATGCCGAGCAGATATCCGCAAGCGCAGCACCGTGTGTGAACGGGTTGATTATGTAGATGACAAAGTTGTCTCTGACAGGCGGAGCTTTCGACAACGCAGTCCCTAATTCCAGTGTCAGGCAGTCTGAAAAACAAACCATCAAAGAAGTCACATACCTAGCCCCTCACACAGAGTTCTCAATGACTGCATCGTTGACAGATAACCAGAGTTTCCGCCCAATGTGACGTGCCACGCCCCCAGTCCGTTCTCAAAAGTCTTCGATCTGTCCCCTCGGACGTGTTTCCCTAAGTTGCAGCTCGAATAGAGAAACCCCAGGCGGTCCAGGAAAGCATCTGCCCCCTCTTTCGCATTTTGGGGATAAATGCAGTATGCTGAGATGTTTTTCGTCCCATTTGCTGGTTCGAACCCAAAGGTTTCCCAGAAGGATATCGCTGGAGGGAGGACTTCCAGGAAGTCTCTTCCACGATGAATGCGTAAATGCGGCGGCGGCAGTTTCGTTATCGAGCCCTTGATATCTTTCCGTTGTGTATTCTGCCGCGAGCTCTCGTTTGCAGCGATATGTGAACTGTCCTGCAGAGAAACGTACGTTTTCAAATCGAGTCTTTCTATATCGCCCATAATAGTCGTATCTTCCAGGAACGTCCGAAGCGAAAGCGCGTCATGTTCGAGATCCGGAAGACCCATGCACCCGTCAACCTTGTGGCAGAGAGATGACTGAGTGACCTGATCGACCATGAGCTGTGCCAGCTGGATTTGATCCTCCTTGCGTAAAAGCACTGGCGAAAACTGGTTCTGCCTTGTTGAAAAATACCCTGCCAAAGACCAGTCGGAGAAGGCTGACAGAAAATTCCCTAGGAAGACGGAGTTTTCCTCCTTCGATGTTGTCACATCCACATCAGGGGCAGTAGAGAGCCCTTCTGATGAAGAGGTGGTCGAATTGTCAGCTTGTGAAGCCGGCCGCTTCCTCTTAAGACCAGTGAATCTGGTCGGTGATGCTGCCCTTTGTGAAATATCATCACTCGTGTCATCGGTGGTTTCATCACTAGAAACAGATGGGGAACGTAACCGGGGTTGTGTTGAGTGGATTGGGGTTTGCTGCTGGGAACCAGTGGCTCTATGGTCGATATGATTTTCAGACCGTGACTTTTGTCCTCGTGGGAATCCAACGGTAGGTATCTGCGTGTCTTCTCGCGTCGCTGCTGTGGCCGCGTTTGTCTTTTCTGAGAAGAAAAACCGACCATTGGCTCCGTATTTGCGATCTGACATGGCCAGGTCCTGTTGAAAGGCGACGGGATCGTAATTGCTCTGTCTGCGAGCATTTTTGTCTATGGTCGGGTTGCCAGAACCTTCTCCCCGCCCTGGTTGACCGGACTGTGGATTCGAGAATAATATCTTCTTGATCTCCACAGGACTCAGGGGCGGGCTTATGGTCTGCCTCGAACGACTCGGCGGCCGATCTTCAGGCAGTGTCTCCTGCGGCCCGGATGGTGCTTTGACAGAGGTATCGACAGTCAAGTTGGACTTTGGTGCAGCCACGGCTCCGATATCTGTTTCAGCAGGTTCTACGGATATCCCTTGGCTTTCGAGTGATTTCTCAGCCGGGATATCTTCTGGAGCGGCCTTCGCCTCAGGTACTTGTGACAATGAAGAGGTCTGTTGGTGTTCCTGGGTGTCTCCCTTTGCTCTATCGTTATCCAGGGACCCAAAGTCTGGTTCGTCGAAGAAGCTAAAATCGGCATCACTGATGCCTTTTGACCCAAAGTCCTTTTCATTCATTTCACCAAACAAATCCTCATCATCATTCGTGTCGTACATGCCTGACCCGACTCCAAGCCCGTTGGATGGGCCAAAACCGCTAACGATCACATCTGAGGTCTGTTCCTCCCGTTTCACAGGTAGCCTTTCACCTGGCGTCTGAGACGCCGCCAAGTCAGACCCTTCCGTGCCAAACATGTCAGAGCCAATATGGATCATGCCTTGGACCAGAGCACCGTCCGGTGGCGTCGGATACACGAGACTCGCGGCTTGAAGATCAGGATACTGGGCTATTCGAGCCAGACTCTCGATATTATCTGGAATATCTGTCTTAGGCGTGGACATGTCTTTATTCTGCTGAGCTTGGGACAACGCGGAACTCCGGGACGCAAGCTTTTCATTCCTAGAGCCAGCTTCAGCTAGCCAATCCTCTGCGAATTGCAACGGATCGTCGCTATCCTTGATAGGGCTATTAACTCCTTCAAAATATGTCGATGACGCGGCTCTGGTCCTTTTGAAGCAATATCTTGCCGGCCAGGCGATGCGTTTCAGAGGATTTGAAGACTGGCTTGGGTCCACCTGGCGCCAATAGTCGGAT